GTTTCATTTTCTGCAAAACTACAACTCTACAAGGTCAGGGATTTCAGTCTGTGTTGTTTATTACTGTATTGTCAATTCCTAGGATTGGCCCACAGTAGGAGCCAAGCAAATATTTATTGAATGAACAAGAAAAGAATTCAAATGTCTAATTACTTGTGGCCTACATATAGTGTTATAAATACATGTGTTTAAGTTCATGAGCATATAAGTCTCTTCAGTACTTTCTAAGTTAGCAGATCAAAGGTTTATATCCTGCCTGGCTTTGGATAAGTTACCTCACTTCTGGGAACCTCAATTCCCATACGCATAGAGAAAAGAAAAATTTTTAAAGAAACATAGTGCCCCTCTCTTACAGAATCATCATGAGGCCCAAATTAAACAATATATGTAGAAATAAGGTATAAGCTATAAAATGCTATGCAAATAAACAATAATATAATTATTATCATATTATATAGCATGAAAAGTGTTAACACCCCCAGATATAAATGAATCATGAAAGTTGTATGTATTTCTCATAAAAATTTAGTAAAAATAGTCAGAATACTAAATCAACCTTTTCTAAGTAAATATGCAAATTAAATAAGCAAATAAGCATTTTAGGTACATTAAGAATATGTGTTTGAAATACAATTTTAAAATCCTTATTCCATTATCACATACTTCTCTTTTTAAAATAATAATAATAATTGTAAATTAGTAGTACCAATTTTGAAAAAAAAATACTCCCAAAATACCCTTTTTTGTTCTATTAAAAACAAAAGGGAAACCCCTATGCAAAATAGAAGTCATAGTTTTCAACTATCAGATAAATATTTAAAATAAACTAAACAGAGGTTGAATTCTCTTAAATGAGCAAATAGCCTTCATCATTATTCCAATTGACAGGCCCAACCCAGATAGGAAACACTCCATTATTTGCAAAACAAAAAAGCCATCCCAACAGCTGCATAATAGGCAAACTGCATTTGATTTAAAAGGTCATCTGAAACAGCCTAGCGGCTTAGCAACAGTGTTTGGAGTTGCTGAGAGACCTAAGATGCACATGGACTTGAATTTCTTGGTTCTAGACATGTGAAAGCTAAACTAATCATTGGGAAATCTACCAAAAAGAAAAAAAAAATGGCTTTGGCTTTTAAGAGAGAATCTAGATGCCCAAGGAAAATTCCCAAAAAGTGGTCTCATTTGATCACTGGCAACAATGCCTGAGAAATGAAGCTAAACTAACCAGCTTCTCAAGGACTCCCATCTTAATTTATATTTAAATAACTGAGAATGAGCATTGATAAAACAACCTACCAATTTTGAAGGAAAAAATAAATCCTAACAAAACCACTGTGCAATTTCAAAAATGCTGAAATGAGACTGTTAACGGGCACTATTTATTAAGGCCTCATTCATCTAACAAATGTTTGTTAAGAGCCTAGTATGTGTTGGGCACTCAATGGGCATGAGTTTACCAGAGAACATAACAGACAAAAGCTCTGCCTTCATGGTGTTTACTTCTATGACAATCCATTTATTCCTTAAATGACTCTATTAGGTAGACTTTATTATTTCTAAATTATATAAATTGGCAATTTGCCCAAGGCCATGCAGCTAATTCAGGAAAGAAACAGGAAGACACTAAGGTCTACCTGACTTTAAAGCCTCAATTGGAAAATCTCCAATCCAATAATTACAGATTGAACTTTCCAATCAAAATAGTAGTCATACTTGGATTTGTCTGAGGCAAGTTAAGAAGAGACATCTGAATACAAAGATAACTTTCCATATGGTTCCTTGGACATTTTCTTACTCAAAGTACACAGCACACAGACACCTGAGACTGATCTTTTACTTAAGAGAATGTACTTTCTTCAGAATAACAGGAAAAAAAAATTAATTTTTAATCTTATTATAATGCACCACTAAAAATATGGGGGAAATATCTTTAAATTTTTACATTGGATTTTTCATATCTAGCAACTGGTAGTAAACAATTTCTTTGAAAAAGCAGACTTGCTACTGCAGAAAGATAAGCTAGCATCTTCACCCAGCCTGACTTTAAACTTTTACACACTTCCAAAGACTTCCCACATTGTGCTATTGCATTCCTTGTTCAGTTTGTACCAACACACATTTACTGGCCATCCCATGTATGCTAGTCAGGTGGAAGGTGCCAAAAGCTCAGAGATGATTAAGATGAAGTTCCTGCCTCTGAGAAGTTCACAATCTCCTGGGACAGATAGTTACACAAGCAGATAATCTCCACACCAAATGGTAGGAGGTATTCACAGGTCCTAAAGGAGCTATGGGAGTGATGGAAACCTACTCTTCTTGGAGAGGCTGAAAATATTTCTTGGAGAAGGCCTGAATCTTAAGAAAAAGGTTGGAGGGGGGGGGAATAAAAAGAACAAAGACAAATATATTGTTTTCTATGGCTAAAAGATAAAGTGCAAGAAAGAAATTGTACTTCCATTTATTCATTTGTTCAACAAATGTTTTGAGTATACATATTTGCCAGGTCTGAGCCAAGTGCTTTGCTGAGCTAACTCATTAAAGCATTCCAACAATACTATGAGTGATATTACAATTCTCATTTTACAGAAGATGAAAGTATAACTCAAAGAACATCACTGTTTTTAAGACAGCTCATTCTACCTTTGTCCAATCCTCTTAGAAAAAAGTCCATTCTTACGCTGTGCTATAACTTCCACCTACTGATCTCTGTTCTATTCCCAAGACTTTTCTCACAAAATTAGACCTTTCCTCCAGTGAAGATTATGAAAACAATCATGATGATAATTTGACAAACTAAGAAAAAGCACTATAAAAGGCAAACGGATAAGTAAAGTACTTATCTGAAATGGTTGAATCAATATAAAAGGAGATTGAATTAGATTAAAAGACCCTACTTAACTTGAACTTTAGCTTTACTGTAGGGTCAGAGAAAGGCAGCATGAACTCAAAAGTTCAGAATGTTAGAAAAATCCAAATAAATGCTCCATGGAGACAAGTTCCTAAAAAAAAACAACAAATATCAAAGTACTTCCTCCTCTAATAGAACAAAGATAACTGCTGTGGTCTGTACCCTCAAGTTCATGTTGAAACTTGAATCCCTTATTACTGTGAAGTAATAAGAAGTAGGGCCTTTAGACAGTGACTAACTTAAGAGGGCTCCACTTAATGAAAGGATTAGTGCCTTGTGAAAGTGCTAGAAGAAACTAGCTTAGCCCTTCTTTGCTCTTTGACCTTCTGCTAAATAAGGATGCCAACTTCAAGGTGCCATCCTTGAAGCAAGACCATGCTCTCCCAGCCACAGACCCTGCCAGCACCTGATCCCACCTACACAACTATGACAAGTACAAATTACCCAGTCTCAGGTTTTTGTGATAATAGCACTAACAGATCCAGAGCTTACATATAACCTTTTTCATTTTCTCAGTCCTTAAAGTTTTCCTGACTTCAAACACCGTTGAATTGGCACAGTTTCCTTACACACCCTAAATAGATTTCTTTGCTCAACTGTCACTTCGTGCATGATCTGAAAAGTATACTTTGGAAGAATCCTATTGAGGATCTAAGGAAATTAAACAAAGAAAATCTCACTTTTCCAAAGGTATCTCACCTTCTATTTGGAAACAAGTATGTGCCAGGTTTGAAAATAGTATGAGTCCAGTAAGTCAGAGGGGTTTTGCAAAGTGGGCAATACCACCAGCCTATACTCAGACAGTCAACCTCCAGGCAAAACAATACTCACTCCAAAAGCTATTGGACATATACAAAAGGCCAAATTTGACTTTTGTTTAAGCGAACATGTGAAAGAATGACATTTACAATTTAAACAATGTTTCTGGTTAATAGGTACCTACTTGTATCTATCCTATTTGCATCTATCCTATTTCCATATACATAATAAATATGTATATATTTATATATATACATATTTATATATGCATATATATTTATATGCATATATATTTGTATATAATGTATATATGCATATATGTATATAATGTATATATGTATATAATATATGTGTATGTATAAATATGTATATAAATATAATAATAAATTAGGGAAATTTTTTATTAATTGATTGCCATTAGCTGACAACATAATGTTTATGCCGAAACACGAAAAATTTAAATCTCAGACACCCACAGAATCAATATTATTAACTATAACATGAACTAATATTATGTACATCACTTCTTAAAGGAGTCATGTGATACAGAGCAAATATGGCTTTTTTAGTTAGACAGGTCAAGGTAGAAAGGTCAAGGTCTAGTTAGACAGGTCAAGGTCTAATTAGAAAGGTCAAGGTATCTGTGTTTATCACCTCCCTGGCTGAGCTTTGGTAAAGTGACTGAATGTGTGACCTTCAGTTTCCTCTTCAGTAAAATAAATGAGGGGAAACTATAACAACTACTCCACAGGGCAGCTGTGAGAATTTATCTAAAGTGCCTCATATAATACTTGAAACAAAACAGTTTTGAGTTAAAAGATTTGAGTAAAATACTGAATTTTTTTCCTTATCAGCAATAATAGTAACAAAAATAACATAAACTGAGAATAATAGACAATGCTTCATTTGGGCTATAGA